GAGCCTGCGGATGATGATGTTTTTGCTACTCTTACACCAGATCAAAAGACAACTTTGAAGGATTCAAGAAAGAGAGACAAGAAGGCTCTCTACCTCATCTATCAAGCATTAGATGATGATGGTTTTGAAAAGATTTCAAGTGCAAGCTCTAGCAAGGAAGCGTGGGAGAAGCTGCAAACCTCTTATAAAGGATCCGAGCAAGTGAAGAAGGTTCGTCTCCAAACATTAAGAGGTGAATTCGAATCCTTAAACATGAAAGCATCTGAGTCTATTTCAGATTATTTCTCAAGAGTAGTAGCTGTTTCTAATCAATTAAAAAGAAATGGTGAAAAGTTAGACGATGTGAGGATAATAGAGAAGATACTCCGTTCGTTGGATCCCAAATTTGAGCACATCGTCGTGACGATTGAAGAAACTAAAGACTTGGAAGAAATGAAGATCGAACAGCTCCAAGGATCATTGCAAGCATACGAAGAGAAGCATAAAAAGAAGCATGAGTTTACTGAGCAACTCCTCAAGCTGCACTCAAGGATATGCATGAGAGCCAACGCAATGATAGAAACCAACGTGGCCAAGGCAGAGGTAGAGGCCATGGACGAGGTGGAAGTCGAGGTCGTGGACGAGGCTGGAATTACAACAATAACAATTCCAACAACAACTATGAGAAAGGAGAAAGCTCAAAACGAGGCCGTGGAAGAATTAATCCAAACTCAAAGTATGACAAATCTCAAATTCGATGTTATAATTGTCAAAAATTTGGGCATTATGCTTCAGAATGTAGAGCTCCCAACAACAAATTTGAGGAGAAGGCCAATTACGTGGAGGAAAAGACAGATGGCAAAGAAACTCTTCTTCTAGCACGAAAGGAAACTGATGGTGGCCAAGCAAATTCCTGGTATCTTGACAGTGGTGCAAGCAATCACATGTGTGGAAGGAAAGACATGTTTGTGGAGCTAGACGAGTCAGTAAGTGGAAATGTTTCGTTTGGAGATGATTCCACAATAGCAGTGAAAGGGAGAGGTAACATTCTTATCCGTTTGAAAGATGGGAGACATCAATTTATTTCAAATGTCTACTATGTGCCCAATATGAAAAGTAACATTTTAAGTTTAGGGCAACTAGTAGAGAAAGGTTATGATATTCATATGAATAATTATAATCTTTCTATAAAAGATGATAAGAATAACTTCATTGCTAAAGTGCCGATGTCAAAGAATAGAATGTTCTTGATCAACATACAAAATGATGTTGCAAAGTGCCTGAAAGCTTGCTACAAAGATGCATCATGGCTTTGGCATCTTCGATTTGGGCATCTCAATTTTGGAGGTCTAGAGCTATTATCTAAGAAGGAGATGGTGAAAGGACTACCTCACATCAACCATCCTGACCAACTCTGTGAAGGGTGTCTAGTCGGGAAACAATTCAGGAAAAGCTTTCCAAAGGAGTCAGAGACAAGAGCTAAGAAGCCACTTGAGCTCATCCATACCGATGTGTGTGGACCGATCAAGCCAAGCTCTCTCGGTAACAATAACTATTTTCTTCTCTTCATTGATGATTTTTCAAGAAAAACCTGGGTATATTTCTTGAAACAGAAGTCAGAAGTTTTTGAAGTCTTCAAGAAGTTCAAAGCAGCAGTGGAGAGAGAAAGCGGTAGAAAGATCAAAGCCATGAGATCCGATCGAGGTGGAGAATTTACTTCCAGGGAGTTTCAAGAGTTCTGTGAAGCAAATGGAATTCGTCGACCAATGACAGTTCCTAGATCCCCCCAGCAAAATGGTGTGGCAGAAAGAAAGAATAGAACAATCCTCGACATGGCACGAAGCATGCTCAAAAGCAAGAAACTACCCAAAGAATTTTGGGCGGAAGCAGTATCGTGTGCAGTCTACTTGTCAAATCGATCTCCAACAAGAAGTGTATGGGGAAAGATACCGCAAGAGGCATGGAGTGGAAGAAAGCCTGGCATTTCCCACTTGAGAACCTTTGGAAGTATAGCCCATGTTCACGTACCAGACGAGAGAAGAACGAAGCTTGATGATAAAAGCGAGAGTTTTATCTTCATCGGCTATGATGCTAATTCGAAGGGCTATAAGTTGTACAATCCAGACAATAAGAAGTTGTGATTAGTCGAGATGTGGTCTTCAACGAAGAAGGAGAATGGGATTTTAACTCTCATACAGATGACTTCAATTTCTTTCCTCAGTTTGAAGAAGATGAGCAGACAATGGGGGAACAACTAGATGAATCTCAACAAGAGCTTGCAACTCCACTCACTTCACCAACATCAACCACTCAAGGAGACTCATCACCTTCATCATCGTCAAGTGGGAGTCAAAGTGAAAGAGTTGTGCAACGCACAAGAAGCCTTAGAGATCTCTATGAGGTAACTGAACGACAAGATAATCTTACATTATTTGTTTGTTTGCCGATTGTGAACCAGTGAGCTTTCAAGAAGCGGTACAAGAAAAGAAATGGAGAGATGCGATGGACGAAGAAATCAAGGCCATCGAGAAGAATGACACATGGGAACTTACCTCACTTCCCAAGGGACATAAGGCGATAGGTGTCAAATGGGTGTACAAAACAAAGCAAAATGCCAAAGGAGAGATTGAAAGGCACAAGGCGAGGCTAGTTGCTAAAGGCTATAGTCAAAAGTCTGGAATTGACTATGATGAGGTATTTGCTCCTGTTGCTCGATTGGAGACTATCAGACTAATCATTTCTTTGGCAGCTCAAAACAAGTGGAAGATACAACAGATGGATGTAAAGTCCGCCTTCCTAAATGGAGTTCTTGAAGAGGAACTTTACATTCAGCAACCATCAGGCTATGAAGTCAAAGGGCATGAAGACAAGGTGTTGAAGTTGAAGAAGGCTCTTTACGGGCTAAAACAAGCACCAAGGGTATGGAATAGCCGAATCGACAAGTACTTCCAAGAGAATGGTTTCAACAAATGTCCCTACGAGCATGCTCTATATATCAAGATCAAAGATGAAGATATTTGATCGTGTGCCTCTACGTGGACGATTTGATCTTCACTGGAAGCAACCCAAGCATGTTTAATGAATTCAAGGATGTGATGATGAAAGAATTCGAGATGACAGACATGGGGCTCATGGCGTACTACCTTGGCATTGAAGTTAAGCAACAAAATGATGGAATTTTCATTTCACAGGAAAGCTATGCAAAGGAGATACTGAAGAAGTTCAAGATGGAGAACTGTAAGCCAATAAGCACACCGGCAGAATACGGGATCAAGATGACCAAACATGAAGAAGGCGAAAGTGTAGATCCAACATTCTTCAAAAGTTTGGTAGGAAGTCTACGCTATCTAACTTGCACGAGACCCGATATTCTTCACGCAGTTGGATTGGTTAGTCGCTACATGGAATCCCCAACAACCATCCATTTTAAAGCTGCAAAGAGAATTCTTCGCTATCTGAAAGGTACAATTGACTTTGGCTTGTTCTATTCAGTTTCTAATGATTACAAGCTTGTTGGATATAGCGATAGTGATTGGGGTGGAGACATAGATAATCGAAGGAGCACTACTGGATTCGTATTTTTCATGGGAGATATTGCATTCACATGGATGTCAAAGAAACAACCGATTGTCACATTGTCCACTTGTGAAGCGGAATATGTTGCTGCTACCTCATGTGTTTGTCATGCAATTTGGCTTAGAAATCTATTGAAGGAGATTGGTTTGATACAAGAAGAGCCTACCAAGGTTTGTGTCGACAACAAGTCAGCCATTGCCTTAGCGAAGAATCCAGTATTCCATGATCGAAGCAAGCACATTGATATTCGCTACCACTATATAAGGGAGTGTGTTGCAAGAAAAGATGTGGAAGTTGAATATGTGAAGTCACAAGATCAAGTTGCTGATATTTTTACCAAGCCACTGACCAGCGAAGACTTCTTAAGATTAAGGAACCTACTAGGGGTCACGAGATCAAGTTTAAGGGAGGGTGTTGGATCATAAACTTGATCCATTATGGGAGCCTAAACCCAAACCCAAACTAAATTGATGTCATTACTTACATCATTTAATTAAAGATGTCATTGCTTACATCATTTAATTAATGATGTCATTGCTTACATCAATTTAGTTAGGTGAGAGTTAAATATTTGTTGAATTTGTAATGGTTTAAATTAGTTTATTTGTGTGGTGTAGGATTGTTCTTGAGTAGTATAAATACCCCTTCCCATTTTAGTTTTAAGCATCAAGAAAAATTAAGAGCTTCTAAGTGAGTGAAGAAGCAAAGTCTTATAAGAGTGAGTTGTAGTTCTTGTTTTCGAGTTAGAGTACTCTTGTAATATTTGTTTGAGTTTCAATAAAAGTTGTTTGTGTGAGCGTTTTATTTCCAACACCCTCTCCCTCCAGTTTCTGCAAAATAAGTTTCTTCCATTTCGTTCTTTTTTTTTGGCAAATTAGTCACCAAATTCTTAAATTTGTTCATATTTGTTATCTTGTATTGTATTTAATTCAAAATTCAATTGAGCTAACAAACACTGCAATGTCTGGAATGGTTTCTGATAATTGAAGAACTTAGTCAGCTGTTACTAAAATTTGGAATATTTGTTCAACAAACTCTTTCTGATGTCTTGTTTCAAATTCAAAATTCAATAATAGAAATGCATTTTTTATGATAGTTGGATTCCAGGCTTCAAATATGGTAGCGTTTTATACAATTTGCCTTATGTATCTGCATAATCACTGATTTCTTTCATCTTACATGGTCATATGAAATTAATGATGGTATACATTTAATGGCTTCTGCATTGTCTTATAGTTCTAACTTCCTGTGGGGGAATTCTCTAATTTCATTTCTTTTTTTCTTCTTCTTTTCATTTACCTCCTTTGATCAAAATCATTTGTGCTATTCCCGCCTTGTTTAATTACCGAATTAGCTAATAATCTAGCTGTGTTTATCTTTTAGTTCACGCGCACATTTGATTTTGGAAGATTTGAGTTTTTGAAATTTAATATAAGCTGGTTTTTAATCAGCATGAAGGTGAACCATGGAGCCATCGTCTTTGGTGCATTGCTTTTTGGTACTATGACTGTTGTATGGCTTCTGAACGGATACTGATGGATGTTAATCCAGGTAATAAACTACATTGTGCTGCAAAAGCTGCAGCTGACAAGGAGAAGACGGTTCCCTTGGATAGCTTTGTTTAAGGTGGATGAATAAGTGCAAAGAGAGCATTGATAACATGGAGGTTGTGAGGCATAAACAAAATAAGGCTCCCGAGGATGTCGAGGTTGATATAATAGGATGCACAAATAATAATGACACTACAACAGTTAAAATTGAGGATCCGGATGCAACTGAATGTTCCAGCTCATTTGCTGACACCGCATCTGATACCGATAAATGTTCTGGATTGAGTGATGCTGAAGTCGAATCTCAGTTCGTTGGTGATGCTGCTTTTGCATCTGCTAACGAACCATTTAGTAGTGTGTTTCATATAAGGTTTGCTTTCTTTCCATATTTACGACCTTTTAATCCTTATATATATGTTTGAGCATATCAATAATTTGGATATGCATGTATTTATGTATGTGTATACAGTCAATATTTGGCTACAACTAAAGATTTCCTGTGGTAAATTCTTCAGTTTTTGATTTGTTCCATCCAAATCTTTATTCATTGAAACATTACGTGATTCAAATCAATTTTCACTTTGCATAGCAAGCAGACATGTCGTAATCTTATTTCGTACTTGCCCTTCAGGAAGAAGAGGCTGACAAGCCATTGGAGGAACTTCATTCGGCCTCTCATGTGGCGCTACAAATGGAAAGAACTGAGAATCAAACAAATCGAGTCTCAAGCAGGAAAATACACCAGAGAACTTTCAGCATTCAATAAGAGAAAGTTTCTTGGAATTGATCAATCTGCACTGGAAGGTTTTGGTTCAAAATCATTGCCATTTTCTAGTCAGTATAACCGTAAAAAGGCCATCAAGCGGAGGAGAAGAAAGAGAATTGAAGAAGTAACCGATATAGCCTCATACATGTCATGTCATAACTTATTTTTGTATTTTGGTACGAGCTTTTCCTTTATTCTGCTACGTTTTTGTAGATTTTGGTTTCTCTTAGTTTTGATTGTGAAGTGATCTTTGTCATTGCTTGGTGCAGCTGATATGGACCAACATACAGATTGCAATGATAAATCCGGCATTAATAACGATCAATTGCTTTTCGAGTTCAGAGATGAAAATAATTCCTTGGAGCAAGTACTTAGGAAGATTGAAATTGTGCATGCTAAGGTTCAGAAACTCGGGAATCAATTCAATCAAATTATGTCAAAAAATGTCTCGAAGTTCTCTTCCTCTGAGAATTTAAGCTTCCGTGCTGCTTGTGATGCTCAAACCAGCGTCGCCCCTAGCCCTACGTTGTCAGCTGGCAACGGAGACACAATATCTGTCGGACCTACATTTAACTCAACTCAACAAATTTGCGAATATGCTGGAGATATGGTTATTCCTGCATGTGCCATTTCAAGTTATGGAGAGGCTTTCCATGTTCCTGATATAATCGAAAGCACTGTTGGATTATTGTCGTTTGCTGAAGTTACCTGCCACCAGCCACCACTTGTAGACTCGTGCGAAGATGTAAGCCCTTTTAACATACAGAACTACATGTGTATTCTTGGCTGATGTTTTACCAGATAAGATAACGCCATCGATTTTTATTTTGAACTGAAAGTAAGCTTAACTGATCTGCATTTTCTTTCCCCTAGATATATGATAATTCATTGCAAAGATTTCCGGAGGCATAGGTTAAAACACTGAAAAACGAAAACAATCTAGCAAGTCTGGGTCTCGTATCCCAGCATCGGTTATTTCCTCTGCTATCCGCAGGCTTCAACCTCCTTTGCACAATAAAAGACTGTTATCTGTTTGACATGTTTTTTTCGGCTTCTCATGCATGAACTACTCTCGATTTAGTTATGGCAAATGAGAATCGGTTCATTATGATACCTGATGGCATTTGCAGATTGTGGAAAATGTTCCGATACAGAATGAAGGAAATGCCGGAGATAAACAAGCTTTAATGGCAAGAAACAGTCAATCTATGAAGGAACATCATCAAACCGAGAAAGTAGGAGAGAGCTCCAACCCATCTCGTGTTGCAACATCAGAGCCTAATAACGCAACAAAAAACGTTGTGTCTCAGGATCAATCAATTCTGAGATCATGTCTAGCTTCAGACATCTGTTTCCCCAAGAGTAAAAGAAAGCGAGGGGAACGTAAAGCTGGCTCCGTCGGTTGGAGCAGGAAACCTGCAGGTGAGCCTGATAATAGCCAATGACTTCATTTCTGATGGTCCACTAAGTTTAGCAGGCTCTATATTGCTAACAAATCAAAGCACAGAGGCACTCAGTAGGCACCATAACTGGAACTCCGATTTTTTGGGAGCCACTATATTGTAGTTTCTGATATACTGGCCTCAAACAACAGTTTTCATGGGGCCAAAAAACTAACCTACAGCTCCATGATTTGCTGGCACAGTAAGCTACCCCTCCATCTCAAATGAGTTAAACAACTTATCATAGTGGAAAAGCAATGTATGCCTCAAATTATGGCTATGGTCATCTATGTTACTTAGATTGGGGAGGGAGTGTCGGATACGAGTAGGTGTCTAATACAAGTACGTTCGATTTTTTTCCCTTTTTTGTTCGAGTTTTTCCCGCTGTGGACAACTATGATAATATTGTCCCAAAAGTTGCGAGAATTATGATGCAGAAGATGGGAGTTATTGAAGCAGAAACAAGAGCAGGAGACTGTAGTTGTGCATGCTGTTAAGGATGGGGGCCATAATTCACACACACTTCAAAGAGTGTCAGCAATTGAACATGTTGCCACTTCAACACCTTTGGTTTACTGATTTCTGTTTCCGAAGTCGTACAAAACATGGTAGAAAAAGCAAAAGATGACTGCAAATCCGACTTGTATTCTTTTGACCCCGTAAAACAATATTTGTCAGTCTATGGAAAGATCATATCATTTGATATCCCCTATTCAATAAAATCAGAACAACTTCCAATTTTATGTTCAACACTTTTATGTGTATGTAAATATATTTTGAAACGGCACAAATCAACTTATCTTATTGGTTAAAATGATCGTTGTTATTCTTAGAGATCATGAATTAGATTATCAGTGATTGCAAGAGTGGTTGGACATTCATTGTAAAATAATTTGAGAATATTTAGAAGATATATATACTTTAAAACCAATAATCGCTCAATTGGGTAAAGCTCAAGTCTCGTATGGAGTGATACATGCATGTGATTTAGAGTAAGGTGTTTATGTTGAAATTTGATTTTTTTATATTAATCGTTATAGTGTCTGTCAACCATGTCATCAAAAAAAATAACAATCAATATGATTAAAGTTAATGAAGTAAATTGATTAATTAAAATTTTCATTATTTTATTTTTTTATTAATCCGAAGTAAGTACAAAATAGTATTTGTACAAAGATAATTTTCAACCTCTCAACATTGATGCTTACACCCTTGACATCTATGGTGCTTGAACCTGAGACCTCAAAAAATATTAATAATTCATTTATCACGGAGACCACTTGATTCGTACATTTCTATTTTGTTTTTCACTAAGCACAAAAAAATCCTTAAACCTAAAAAACAATGAAGTTGTTAGTGAAGTTTTATAAGCAAGTACTATTATTTAATATGGAGACAGGCAATGTGAAATTAACCCAACATCCCCAATCATTATGTCTCTCTCCGCAGCAGCTTTTGGAGTTTGTGATATTACACCACCCACGTTCTAACATTTTTTTAATTAATTATTTATATTCAAACTATTAATTCAGATTTAATTTTATATAAGTTTATTTTAAGAGCGATATTTCGAATGCAGTTTGTTTAATTCTAAATGTATTTTAACTTAAAGTATTCCGTAAAAAATTGCCATGGAAAGGTTAATCATGATTTATTCATCTTTATAGTCTGTAAACATAATTGCTCTTTGCCGTCCCTTAGCTTATCATTAGATTGCAAATATTGATTTAAGCATTCACGTATTTTATAATTAAATAAAAATTATTATAACTCTACCTATTTTTCTATTGATTTTGTCAACGATGACATCAGTCTTGATCATTTTATTTCGTTCTTGTTGTACATTTCTTTTACCTTATAGCACGTTATTTGCCTACCCCTCCAATAGATTTGCGATAGTGTAAAGGTTCTTATGTTACTTGTATTTGATTTGTGATTGTCAGTGGTCTTTCAGTAATTAGATTCCCTTTTGTTGATGTTTGTCGATGTGTTCAGATCTATTTTACGAAACATTTATTGTGGTTCGTTCGTTACTCCATCATCTGTAAAACGTTTAGTTTAATTAAGACAAATGAGTATTATTGACGATCACTAGGTTACTATGAACGATAAATGTCATATTCAAAAGAATATTTTCACTATTATTATGTCTTTGAGTTTTCTTTTTTATTTTATTTTATGTTTGAGTTTTTTTGTGGACATAGTCCCTAAAATTCTCTCTTTGATTAAATGATCAGTCGTATTATTAAAATTATATCTTATTTTATTTTAATAAAATTCAATAACGTTTCAAGATTTAAAAGAAAATATATAAATTATTATTAGCAACATTGGAGATATTATTTTTACTTTATGTGAGTTTAAAAATTGTAATATATTTTATTTATTAAAACAACTTTTAGATTTGGCCCGAACTGTTCGGCAGATTCCCACGCGTTACGCACCCATTCGCCGCTTTGTCCTCAAACAATTCTCACCCGCTGTGCGAGACAAGCTACCTTTAGCTAGTAGCCTTTTTTCCTTATTCTTAGCTCCTCGAAAACAACGTTTGACTTGCATGTGTTAAGCATATAGCTAGCGTTCCTTCAGAGTCAGAATCAAACTCTTCTTTTGAGTATGATAGAGCCCTGCAGTGATAGAACCTGGTGAACCGGCGGACGTATTACTTTTCAAACTTATGTGGACCTTTTTTCTCTAACGTTTTTTCTACTTTCTTTAGAAAAATGATTGATATCAAAGAGTCTCGGTCTAATTACTCAACTAATCCACTTGTGGTGCTATGTATAACAGTAGTGTATTTATATAAAAAAAATAGGTTCGAAAGTTGGTTATATATAGAGAATGACTAGCACCCTCACAACGTTATAAAATCAGTATCTAATCGATTAATTGTTATCTTTACAATCAATACACAATTCAAGATCTAATGACCCAATCTATTTAGCTTGTTGACCTACGAATAGTCATAATGATCGTATGTCTAACACCGTCAGCTAGAATCATTATAAATACCTCTCAGCTATAACTAGAGGTTGATGTTCTCCACAATCATCTTCACATAGACTCCCATCCCTTCAATTCTCTCACAGAAAAATACCAACCAACAATTATACTTTTACTAAATGCGACCTCCGTCTAAATCAAAAGAAGTGAACAGTCAACGACGGACGAGATAAACTTATTCTCATTTATAATTATATTTATATTAAAAATTTATTTATAATAATAATTTAAATAAAGTTATATTTTTCATCCATTAAATGAACATATAAATTAAGTCACCCAACTACCGAAATGAAATATGATCGTGCATGATTATTGTAAGAATGGGAAGCCAATGCCAAGCATGTGTTCAACTTCAACGACATTAATTACCCCAAACAATACCACTTGCTATAATTATAAAAACCTTTGGAGAGAACATGATTATAGCATCATGTAGCCTCTGCCTGTTCAAAATGATCTTCAACAATGACTTTAGGATACATCTCAAGTTCATGTTAACTTAGGATCTGCATTAAACTCTTTTCCTCCCTAGCTACTATAAACCAACGCAACAATAATATTCCAATATATAAATTAAAATTAAAATATATAAATAATAAAAAGAATTCCTAATTAAAGATTTCATTATTATACTTATACCTATAAGTAATAATATTCAATGACCGATGTATGATTTTATGTTAGGGAATACCAAATTATATTTATACTTATTTGAAGAATAAAACATCAATTATTCGAGACGATATTTTCTTAAAAGCCAAATTTATATAATCATGAATATTGAACGAATACCTATAAGTTCACGACGGTATTCGATTTTTCCGGCGAATTTTATATATTCCGAGGGTCATTGGTTTTGATTGCTTTAGTTTTGCTCTTGCATTGAATCTTGAACGAGCTGAGAATTGAGGGAAAATATGTAAACAAGTTTGAACCGTTTATATAATCATGCTTACATGGATGATTTCATGTCACATTAGTTAGATGCTGATGATTTCAAAGCTTTCAATTCTTGATTAGATGGTCTTATATTAGTAAGATGAATGTTCTTCGATAATCTGCATCTTTAAGCATTTGATATCTTTGGTACCCTTTTCATGACAGTTCAGCTTGATGAATGAAGTCAGATGAGTTTCTGATCATGGTGTTATTTCAGTATGTGATACTGTTTTTTTTTTAATTAGTGAAAACTGGATAGAGATCGGAACGATGATGGAAAACAAAAGGAGCCCTTGCTCTGTTGATCATACCAGTTTCACTTCTTTGGCATCGAAACGACAGAAGTCCGACTTATCGATCCCCACCAAGGTATTTAGCCTTCTTTACTCAAATTTATGTCTCCTCTTAGGAATATATATTCTTCTATAGTCATTTCATAGTTATACTAAAGGAATCCCTCACCCTTTTTCGAAGGAAGATGCCTAATTTATATCCGCATGGCATAAACTACATTCTCTCGACTTATTTTAGGGGTTATATTCTCGAATATGGTCACGATTGCGTCTTCTGCTATTATTATTTTATCTGCAATGTCAAATTGGTTTCTAGCAATGCAGAGTTTCATCTCTTCATTTCTTCTTTCTGCATACTAATTATTTTAACAGATACAGCTTCTGTTCTCTTGGAAGCAATGGAATACATACGGTTTCTTCACGAACAAGTTAAGGTCGGTTTTTCTTGTCCGTTTTACCTAAATTATCATAGCATGCGTATTAGTTGGTGTTAGTTGCAATTTCTAAATGCATGCTTCTAAAGATCAGCAATTGAAAATTCAGTGAACATATACAGCCTATTAATGGCTTATGATTTACCAGTTGCAGTTATGATTTTAATTATCGTTGTAACATTATTAATGGCTATGACCTTGGTCAGGTTTTGAGTGCTCCGTATCTTCAAACCGGGCCGATAAAACATGCAGCGGAACCAGGTACACAAAGAAATTAGGATATGTAAACATAAAGCCCTATTTACTTCTCATGCTCAACCATTTGTCATCATTTATGTTGAAACACAATGGAACCATGAATTTAGGGAGCCATCATTGGAAAATTATGGTCGGATTTTAAATCGGTTTTTCTTCCAGGATGTAGAGCATTATAGCCTGAGAAGGCAAGGACTATGCCTCGTTCCAATATCGTATACCGCCGGAGTTGCTCGTAGCAACGGTGCCGATATTTGGGCTCCCATCAAGACCACATCGCCAAAATTCGACAAGGCTATCTCACCATTCAATTGACATTTTTCATCGGCTACCGATAGTCTTTGAACATCACTTGAATGGAGTTTAAAAGGTAACCAACTTAATATCGGATGTACAAAATTTCCTAATGCACTAATACAGGATGTTTGTAGGCAAAAACTATTAGGCCTTGATCCGTAGGATTCTGGTATCGAAAAATGCAGTCCGACACCTTCGTCGTTTTAATTCGGTGCTCGGATTAAGCTGCATTTAATCAATTCGATTATAGAAGTTAATTATCGTCTAATTTGATACGATAAATTTATTATAAAAGCCTTTATTATTTTTAGAAAATACTTTATAAAAGTAGGTCTCCTAATCTAGGGTTGATTAAGATTAAATTAACATAAGAAAGTATATGTCACTATCAACATTATTTTTCTTTTACTTCCTATTCTTTGAGGTTAATGTTTTTTTTTTCATTAGTGCATGCTGATGAAGATACACTAGGAAAATTAATTAAAACTATCAAGGAATGGGTTTGATTTAAATCGATATATTATTTTATTATTTATTGTTTTTATAATTTAAACACTTATATTTTTAAAGTTAATTTTATTATTTATTACAAACATCATAAGTTTGAAGGTTTACTACAACCTTTATTTAAAGTTTTTATATGGGAAAAACTACAAAATCTGTCAACAATTTGCAGGGACCTGTAGTTTTACCATTTTTAAATGGCAATCGATGTGGGCAGTTTTGAATCTTTGTAATCATTTGGGAAGACAAAGTCGGTCGAGCGTAACACAAACGAATCTCCCACAGTTGCAGTCCTCCAGTTTTGTTTCTGTTACAAGCAATTTCAGGTGATGCTTTTGTATGGCTCTGAATTATTTTTATAACATCTTGAACCATATAACGGTTTCCTGGTGTAAGTCCCGTAGCTGAATCAAAATAAGTTAGAAATTGTGTTAGGAAGATGAATTATCAACTATTTAATCTTAAAAATTGTTGTATATAATAATAATAATAATATGATAGTGAAACCCATAGATAATACATCATTCCAACTTTTCAACCATCTTATACATAAACTCAATAACAGAAGATATAAAAGCAAGTACAAAGGAAACATACTCACCTGGATTTGTTAAGCCTTGTCTAAGCGTTAAGGCAGATTTGAAGTAATCAAGAGGATTATTAGGGTAATCAGAACATGTTCCATGCTTTAACCATTCAGTCTCCCAAAAGCCAGTACCCGGTTTAGTAGGGTTCTTCAGGTCCGGCCATAATGATATTAAGTTGCTTTCAATTGGAGTAAATGCAGTAGTCTAAATTAGAGAAATAAACGTTAGATCATAATATAAATTTAAATACAAATAAAAAAAGTAAATTAAAAAGTTGATGAGATGCTTACCTCAAGAACTAGTGGGTCAGTAATGGGTGCCTGGGAGTAACAGGGATTAGTGGCTGCGTTGTAAGGGGGAATCGGAACGTCGTTGGCATCTTGAGGCCATATACCGTGGATGGTTAAGACAGTCGGGATGGGAGTACCACAAGCCATGCTGCCGGAATTACACACAGCAAGAGGCCATTGGAGACTGAGTTTATAAAAATGTATGGGGGGTTGAGCTGTAACTAGAACCAAGAAACAAATCACCAAAACAACCACCAACTTATAATTCAACAACATTGTTACAATCAATACTCTCACAATCAACATTCACTATGTGTATAATATTTACAATGGTTAGTCCTTTTTATATTGCAAATGTAGCATCAAACTTGTTTCTGTTTCAGTTTCTATTTCAGTCTGTTATATTGAAAATGTGTTTCTGTTTCAGTTTGTTTTAAGTGGGATACACCTGTGTTTCAGTTTATTCAGTCTGATTGTAGTGGTGGCACACACATGGTTTCTGTTCGGAAGTTAGGCATCAATAATTTACAGCCCTTAAAACCCAAACATCAAATGTAATTTAATAAAATATAAGATTTAATTATCCATGTTATGCAGTTTGGCAGCAGCTGTGATTAATCACGCATTTGTAAACCATTGGATCAAATTAAAGTACATTTACAAGAACCAAATATTACAAAACTAAAAACCCATTTACAAATCTAAACCCAAACATATGCATAACATGCAAGAAGATTCGAAGAAGGGATGAATTTTGGAGAGCAAGAAAAAACGAAAAGAGAAATGCAACCCAATCACTATCTTCGGACAAGGGAGAAAAATCGACAGGAGAAACACCATTTTCGAACATGTTATTTATTCTGTATTTTATTTCAGTCCCTTGTATATGGCTTCATAGTGCCGGATTTCAGCCGGTTGAACTAACTGAGTTGCTGGAGCTGCTAACACAGCCAAACAATCCAGTGTCATGCTATAAATTCAATATAACATAACATTAAGACATTGCACGTGTATTACGGGTACAATATTGTATGTTGTTCTACATTCGAGATGGAATTCGAAAACATATGAGGAGATAAACAGTGAGAGTGGAAGAACAATGCATGAATACTGCAGAAGAATGGTGTAATTTCTTTTCAGTGGACTAAGCTCCATCTCTTCAATAGTATTTCACGGGAAAGTGAAAATAATTAAAGTCTTTAAAACCCCATCAACCCTTCAACTAGATTCTCTTCAAAGTAATTAGTAACAAATCTTAAACCTTTGAAGTCATCAGTTTGAGAATATGATCCTATAAGGACCCTCCAACGACATGAAAAAACTATCAAAATACTCATATTCGGCACTCACATCCAAGCAAAAACAACCTAAAACAAGACCTATGCAAGACTGCAATCCATTTACCTCTAAAACAAATAACTAAGGTCAAGAATGAAAATCATCACACAAAAAGTCTTGAATTCCAACTCTTAAATTGGAAAAACAAACATGCAAAACCAAGCTAACTCTTTATAAGCACAAACAGAAGCTCATGTGAATTATCATATATATGCAGAAAAAAGACAACAATTTCCATAAATATTCCACAAACGGAACGCTTTCAAGAAAGTAGTACTACCCCATTTACCCCTGCAAATACCCTTAACAATGGCTTCACACAAAACAAGACCAAACCATTGACACTGTTTCATTGGATCTAAAGTACATATAATAATAATAGTTCCTATGTTCAACTTCAAATTACATTCAACTATTGGGGACGTTGAGCTCTCAGAAGCAAATTCAAGTTCGAAGAGCACTCCGTGTGTGGCATATATATGCACCTGCAATCATGATATGCAGGTCAATAGAACTGAAGATCAGAGTTAAAACCTAAGAAAATCTGTAGGACGTAATTTCGTGCATCCACTAAAACAACCAAAAGCAAACAGAAACCTAAACAAGTCAATATCTAGGGCATGTATATACAATTCAAACAATAACAACAATACTTGAGAACATCACTGGACAATATAGTTGACATAAAGTGCATAGGAAGAGACCAAATCCCATTAAATCTTACCTCTTTTGTTGTAGCTCCCCATCCATCTTAGTATTCAACATCAATTTGTTTCACCTCCGGCTGGCCGTCGTATTATACATTCCTCATGCTCTGATCTTCCATTCAATGGAACCAAGCTCTCAACATAAGCAGTAATGTGCATTGTTTCCTGATAAGCGTGAATACCAAGATTTCTAAGCTCTTGTATGGACGGATCAAATAAAACTAGTTCTTGATCCGAGTTCTTGCAGTAATATGCAAGAAGTATCAACATTCTTATACGCATCTTTTACTAGTAGTAGATATCTTAATAATACATATATTCAAAGACGAAGTCAGAATATTAACTCAAGAGAAACATAAAATAGTTAAATATAAAAATAAGAAAAAATTTAGATAAATTAAAAATTGAAATATCTAAATAAATATGTATTCATATATATTTTTCAATAATAACAAATTGAGAGTAATGCCCCGGTACGATGCATAGCTTCATCCCTATATATATTTGTCTTAGCAATTTTACATTAATTTTATTCCAAAATATTCATTTTCTAAAAGTATTCATATATTTCAAATATCAAAGGGTTAAAAGAAGTAGCAACGTTTAAGGGATATTATTCAATAAATATGAACATTAACGTTGTCATTTGCCTATTGCATTGAGAAACTGCATTACAATAACCATTCTCTGTTACTTTCGCTTTCGTGGAAACCTTTTTAAGTCACATTATAAATCTATATCTTGGGAAAAAAAACTCTGGCAACGATGAGTTATCGGTCTCACCTCTGGCAATATGTGACTCTATATTCGAACGGGCAACATCTAACATTGTCTCGATCTCTTTCTTGTACTGCACAAAGATGGTAAAAATACTAAAGTCAACCTCTTCAAATTTTAAGGCTAATACGAAAGCAGGGAGAAAAAAAGGTTTTCAAAGTATGGGATTCGTCGATATGATCGGTGAAGACCATGGTTCAGCTATAGCAATACCTCTTCGACAGCGCCTGACTTAATTTTCGATTGCATCACACACCTTTTCTTAAAATGTGCACCTACAAAAAATTGAAACATCAATTAGTTCAATTCATTGATGTCGAGGAAAAGAAAAGACATGTTTTCAAACTCAGAAACTGCTTGAAGATGTTCATTACTTTCATTATAGACTGATGCATGCATTAAGAGCTAATATCATGTCAGTATAACTTGTAATGAGAGACACAAATCTCTGGAAGACCATATCTCAACAAGAGTTAGATTAGATGAAAAACTAAAGCCAACGCAAAAATGTCAAAAGATATCCCCAAGGGGACACAACCCAGCCACAAGAACTTAAAGAGTCCAACTTGGAAGTCTCAGATTGAACTATGTGAAAGTAGCGAGTTGGATTTAGCAGAATACTGATGCCATTGGTAGTTTGGTACCATAATCTCCATATGTATGGCCAACTTGGAAGTCTCAGATTGAACTATGTGAAAGTAGCGAGTTGGATTTAGCAGAATGTCGGAGGGCTACGGCCATTGTATGGCCATTGGTAGTTTGGTACAATAATCTCCATATGTACCATTAGGGATGTAAATGAGACGAGATAGATCGCGAGCTACTCGAGATCGACTCGATCAAGACTCGATAAATACTCGGATCGAATGGACTCGACTCGAGCTCGACTCGAGTTCTTAACGAGCCGAAACGAGTTATTCGATATTCGACTCGAAAAGCTCGTGAGCAACTCGAAAATATAATATATTAAGATTTTATTTTTAGAAAAAATAAATTATTAATAATATTAATATGTATGCATTGATTTTTTTTAAAAATACAGTAAGATTTTCATGTATTTAAGGTTAATGTTCGAGTCTGAGTTTGAGACTTCAATCGAGTTAAGTTTAAGAATTTTTTTTTCATTTCGAGCCTTTTCGAGCTGCTCACGAGCTTTAGTTCAGGATTTCGAGTTCGAGTCGAGCTTGAAAATTTTAAGCTCGCGAGTTTTCGAGTCGAGTCGAGTCAAGCTCCATTTCAGAGTTTTCGAGTCGAGTCGAGCTCAGCAATACTCGAGCTCGACTCGGCTCGTTTACACCCCCTATGTGTCAGTAAGAGTGAACTTTTCTTTTTGGAAGCAAGTAAATTAATGTGTCAGTTCCAAAGGGATTTTTCCTACTCCGACAGTTTGAACAGAAACTTTCCTCTTGATTGGACTTAGGTGAAGATAAATGCATGATCAATAGCAGTGAGGATGATATGCAAGAAAGTTTATGAACAAACACATGAAAAGCCAGCAAGTGAACTGGTGTGTCAAAAGGACAGTTCCTTTTGCAATAATGAGTCTTACAATTCCCCTCTTGATTGGACTTAGGTTATGATAAGTTTTTGGCCGTGCATTATGGAGCAGATTAAATATTAATCATCTGTAATACTAATGTTAGTTGTAGACACACTTCCTATTTTGTAGTATATACAAAAATTGCATCCAATAGTAGCAATGCTTTCACTAAAAGGGTTGATTTATTCTGTTTCTATGGATCAAAGTTCATTTTATTTTCCTCAAAGAATACAACACAAATAGAGGAGGATTTTTTTGTAACAATCCTTGGTTATCTTTTATTTATTTGTTTGTTTTGGGATCAAAGTTTGAATTATTTATTCATTGGAGTGAGGAACAAAATCAGACCGGAAAATAATAAGAAGGGGAATATTGCTTGCACAGGCAACAGTGAGACTGCAAGGACCTTGCACAAAACAAAAATGTGGGGTATAAAACTATATTCCAAATCAAGAATAAAGATACCCAGCTAATACTTGCTTCAAAGTAGGTGCCAAACTGAACATCATGTGCCTGTTGTACAGTTTCAAAAACCTACGAGAAGAGAGAAATTGAGTAAATTCAATTAAATCAACCAAACATAGAATCTACAATAAAGATGCAAATGATGTTTTTTTTCACTAAACATAGAATCAGCCAAACATATGTATCACAAACATTGAAGTTTTTTTCATTAAAGAAGTAAGACAACCTTAAGTTTATTAAATAATAAATTACTAAACAGATGAAAAAAAGATGTCATACAAGCTTTTTCTTATCTGATGATAAAACAAAATGTTGATCCTCAGTCATGGCACTGTCTGGAGGGCACATAGGATTGTTACAAATGGATCTGAATGTAATCTCTCTCAGTTGACCTTCATATTCATCTGCAGCATGCCACTGTCCCATCTGAAAGTAGAACAGCAGAGTGGGTTCAAACTTTCAATTCATTCAACTAGGGATGAAGAAATCCCTGGGAAGATTACCACTAATTTATATGAGGGAAAAGATGCCATGTTTATACCATCAAAAGTTTAGAGATGTTTAAATCAAGTTTAACCTCGACATTCGGATTTTACAAGCAATATAAATGATTCTAAGACGAGCATATCAGTATAAAATGCACAATAATACGAAAGGTATGCTTAAT